GTAGGGAAAAAAAATGGATGGATCTAAAGAGAGAAGAGTTAAATTTGCCATGTGACGAAAGGGAAGAACCCTATTTTGACGGGAAAAAAATGGATAGGACGCGACCCAAAAAGGAAGAGAACCCTATTTTTCTCATCATGTTTTGTAGTTGCAAGGCAAAACAAAAGGGAAGAAAAATAAAGGAAAAGTTAGGGAGAATCATAGAGATGTTTAGTTCTATATAGTCAATTTGGTTTGGTATTTGATTCATCACAGGATGGGAACTAAATTTAAGGCTGGGATATTTGGAATATTAGAATATTGAGTTGGGAATAAACGTTTTGCAAGAAAAGCATATATGTTCAACAAATTTTGCTTCCGGAGACTAAATCATGGTAGTGTTAAAATTTTACCATATTCGAAAACAAGTTTTAACATATTTTAAACTTTAATTTCTAAAATGTCTTATACACATTACACAAACTAGTTTTCGAAAAATTAACCTATTGACAAAAATAGGTTCCAGAGAGGGTTTTTAGGGAGAAAAAAAATGCTAAAAATAAGAGGTACATTTAGCAGTTAAAGGGATATTCATCAAAAAAAATAAAAGCAATTAAAGGGATGTACTTAGTTATTATGAGAAAGCGAACATGCTAGCTGAAAAACCACAAGGCCCAATACACGACCACTTGATTAGCCCAACATCTCATCCCCACTCGAGAACCATACTTGCATTATACAAGGGTCGATCCAAGCACAAAACACTATAGAATATGACTCACAAATTCAATACGAAGATATTCCTCACACACTCATCAGTAAGAAGCATCATCGTGCCTTAAAAGAAACCATATAATGTAAAAGCATAAAAGACATAAGGTACAATAACATAAAAGACATAAGGTCTTTGCAAGTGATTACACCAGAGTTTAACTCGTAAAAATCCTTTCGAAATTCAAGATTCCTCACCAAATATTCTCCCTTCAAGGCTCAAGCTAATGCATTAACATCCATTTGCACAAATAATATAAATTAAAATGCAATTTGTTTAATATATAAAATATATATGTTAACATAATTAATATATTACTTTTCATATATAATATATATTACTTAAAATAAATAATATCAACATGCAAATGGACATGTTCGCACACACATTTTATGTTTTTTATACAAGTCCTATTTTGATAAAAAAAAATTAAGAAATTTCACTAAAATAATATATTTTAATGATTTTTAATTACATAATAATTCATTATTAGATTATATATTTTACGCTAAATTGCATTTTTGGTCTTTTTATTTTTGTTAATCTATAATTTTAGTCATTCTATATCAAAACATAGATATTTTGCTTCCCTATTTTTAAAAATAGGAAATTTTGATGTACTGTCAATTTGATATTCATTAATAGTTAAATTTTGATTTTTTAATGATTTATCACCACTTAAGTAACGTAATATGTAGAGATAAAAATTAAAAATATCATGCAAAAAATCTTAGTTTGTATATATTTTAACGATTGATTGATATTTATTTTATTAATAAATTTTAATTTTTTATCACATTAGTTAAATAGGAATAAAGTTAAAACATAATGATTAATAAATGTTAATTTGATAAAAAAAAATCAAAATTTTATATTTTTAAAATTAAAAGGTTAAATATCTCTATTTTAAAATAAAAGAATTGAAATATCAAACCTACAAAAATAGAGTAATCAAAAATGTTGTTTAACCTATATTTTTATTAAATTCAGAAAAATGAAATATATCCATTCTCATTTAAACCTTCCTCATAAAAAATAACATTAGAGGCCTTTCACAAACAAGGATTACGTGATACGTTATACATATGCATGCAATTTTACTTTTTAAAATGGTAGCATCATATTCGTCTAGTGTCATGGACACCGTGTTAATATCTCAAATAATAAAAATAAAATATCAGCTTCAATAAATGATATTTTGAAACATTTGAATAAGTGATTTCTAAAAAAATATTTGATCAAAACCCCTCCCTACCTTAGCCGCAAATTCCACCACATTTGGATTCGTTCAAAATACACGAGCAACAAAATACAAGAATCCCTCGTGGCACTGCAATTGGAATCAGCAAGTAATCACAATCACAAAAAGGAAAACTATGTGAAGAAGATAAGTGGGGCCAGTAGTATCACAAATCATTCCCTGCCTCACAATCTCTTGCGTTCAGTGCCTTAGAACACAATCCATGTAACCACCACTAGCTCTCACACACTGCACAAATCAACAACCAGAAAGTAAAACTTTTGCAGCAACCATGGTTGCAATGGCAGCAGCAACAGCATCATCCCAGTTGATTTTCTCGAAACCATGTTCTCCCTCACGTCTCTGCCCCTTCCAACTATGTGTCTTTGACACCAAATCGGTGATAACAAGTTCAAGTGGCAGGAGAAAGCATGTGAGTGGGTCTGGAGTTAGGTGCATGGCTGTGGGGGAAGCAACCACAGAGACAAAGAAAAGAAGTGGGTATGAGCTTCAAACACTAACTAACTGGTTGCTGAAGCAAGAACAAGTTGGGGTGATTGATGCAGAGCTCACTATTGTGCTGTCTAGCATTTCCATGGCTTGCAAACAGATTGCTTCTTTGGTGCAAAGAGCTAACATTTCGAACCTCACTGGTGTTCAAGGAGCTGTCAATGTTCAAGGGGAAGACCAGAAAAAGCTTGACGTTGTTTCAAATGAGGTCAGTGTAACAGTGTTACAAGACTCCTTTTTTTAGATTCTTTTTTATAATCATGTTATTTGTACTAAGAATTCACTGACTTTGTTGATGACTAATCTTGGTTGGAATTTGAATGATCACTTTTAGTGGAATTTCCTCATCCAACTACATTTTTTCCATTCACAATACCTTAATTCAAGACTCTACTTAATGAAACCAATCCAGTACCACAACTGGAACTAACACTTTTGATTTTTTTTTTTTAGAATTATATGTAGTTTGATCAATTAAGTGAGCAATTTTGGTTAAAATTGAGAACACATATATGATGTATCCTTGAGGAGTAGACTACAAGGGATTGTAAACTTGTAATTGTTTGTCAATATTTGTTAACAAATTTATATGCTCTTAAATATGAAGGGTTAATTAAGAATTGTTTTTGCATTTATCAGGTTTTCTCTAACTGCTTGAGGTCAAGTGGGAGGACAGGGATAATAGCATCAGAGGAGGAAGATGTGCCGGTGGCAGTAGAAGAGAGTTATTCTGGCAACTACATTGTAGTGTTTGACCCACTTGATGGGTCATCCAATATTGATGCTGCAGTGTCAACTGGGTCCATTTTTGGGATTTACAGCCCCAATGATGAGTGTCTTGCTGACATCGGTGATGACCCCACAGTAAGTCTTCCATAGTTTTCTAGTTACTTTATCTAAAAGACAGTCTTCCATGGTTTATTCCAATTCAGTTAATTAAAGCATTGATAATGGCTCAAATAAAATGTAACCTATAGAGCCTGGAGAATCTAGTTGCAAAGGTAAGGACAATTAGGTTTGGAGATAATGAGACGGATACTCTGTTTTGGTTTTCACGTTATTGATTATCTTGTTATAAAAATGTAGATAGAAAGTCGTGTTGCAAAGGTAAAGACAATCAAGTGGAATATATCTTATTTTAGATAGAAGTGGATAGTTGTGTTTCTAACTTTCATTGAATCACAATAAGATGCTAAGAAATGTAATCAGAAGTTATTTAAAAAAGCTACATAAGATTGGCTCAACTAGTATGATCAAACATTACATGTCAGCGTAAAGATCTCTGATTAAATTCTTACTACTAGTGGTCCATAGCTCTCATTGATACTTTTAAAATATTTACCTTGAACTTGGAATGAGCTACCTCCCTTCCCCTATACTTAATCATAAAAAGTTAAAAGAGTTACAATAAAATAAAATTAAAATTAAAAAATAAAAAGCAATTGCATAAACGGATTGTTTGTGAAATTCAGCTCATAATGCATTGCATATGCTAATTTGCAGCTTGACACAACAGAACAAAGGTGTGTTGTGAACGTGTGCCAACCCGGAAGCAACCTTCTTGCAGCTGGTTACTGCATGTACTCCAGCTCAGTAATCTTTGTTCTCACACTTGGAAAAGGAGTGTTCGTATTTACATTGGATCCAATGTATGGCGAATTCGTTTTGACTCAGGAAAACCTCCAGATACCTAAAGCAGGCAAAATTTATGCTTTCAATGAAGGGAATTATCAGTTGTGGGATGACAAGCTAAAGAAATATATTGATGATCTCAAGGACCCAGGTCCTAGTAACAAGCCTTATTCTGCAAGGTACATTGGTAGCTTAGTAGGAGACTTCCACAGGACTTTGCTATATGGTGGCATTTATGGGTACCCTAGGGACAAGAAAAGCAAGAATGGGAAACTCAGGCTCTTATATGAATGTGCTCCTATGAGTTTCATTGTAGAACAGGCTGGTGGAAAAGGTTCAGATGGCCATCAGAGAATACTCGACATTCAACCAGTGGAGGTAAGCATAGATCGATTTTGTATGCCTCTAAATGCTATTAAGGTTCATGATGAATGTCTTAATGATTAGTCTTGTTCATTCTTTTACCTTTTTATGGACAGATTCATCAGCGCGTGCCACTGTACATTGGGAGTGTAGAAGAGGTAGAGAAGGTGGAAAAGTACTTGGCTTAAATGATATTTTAATGAAAACAAGGTTGACTTGTGTATGAAGATTATGCCCAATCAAAACTTCTAAAGCAATACAATCATGTGGTTTTAAGGAAGCATTCTTTTTATTTTCCCCCTTTGTCTTTCTTTGGTGAAAAGTAAAATGTCAAGTAAATGATTTTGAAAAAGAATTTTGTATAATTTTGGACATGTTTTATATTGGATATAATTGTCCATTCTGATCATTCGTAGCAAGGCAAGCAATCGTGTCAGTGAATTTCAAACCTCTCCGCTTTCTTGTATGAAACAAAATCGTGTGAAATGTTTCAACATAGATAAAGTATGCATCTAGGTGTTGACTAAAGAAACTGTTGCTTGCAATGAGAACTTCAGAGGACTTGAGTATATGTAACACGATCAAACACTGGGAACTTAGCTTATCAGTTATTACTAAGTAGATGAAACTTAAAATTCACGCACCAATGTATTACCACAACTATATTAAAACAAGTACCGACTGATCAAGGTAGAGAAGTGTAGAACAAACTTGATGTAAATGATTTATATTAAACAGGAACAATGATTAAATATATCATATACCAATTACTATCTTGTTTTTCAGCAACTGTTAACAAATACAAAAATTACAAGTTATGAAGTAATATAATTATGGTATCAATTTAAGATTGCATCCCAGCATGTCTAGTCTTCCCCTAACCTTTTACATGAAAGTTTAACAGTGTAACAACATTGAACCAGAAATTGCTTGAATGACTTAGACTTCAAGGCTGTTAACCATAATTGTCATATAAACACAACCCAGCTAAGATTAATCCTTGAAATAAATCAAAACAAGGGAGGAAGCTATCTACATTCTACGATCACTTTTTAAGCTTTGACCAAATAGGCTAGCTTGCAAGGTACAAATGAATCGAGGGTTATCATCCTAAATGAAGTGCAACGGCGGGGAACAATTCTTTGGAACAATAGATATAAAATTCTCCTGCTGTGAGCTCCCATTAATAAGTCAGGATGAGTCATTCTTCAAATTGTCACTTATGTACAGTTTTCTTCATCCACTGACAGCTGGCGGTTTTTCTCTGTAGGCATATTATATAACTTGTAAACACTTGATCACTAAAGATAATATATACGAATGAAAAACTTCTAAAAAAAGAGTACAGAACATTTGAAAGATAAATTTACCAGGGCTTATAACTGTTATGCTTTTTGTTACAGATTTCATTGCAGTCAAACAATCAGGGCCTACAAAAATGAAATTCTCAGTAAAATATGATTTGGCTTACAAAACTAAGATACAAAACTAGGTTCATTACCTAGTATTTTCATATCTTTCTCACATAGAACTTCGGTCACAGTTGATAATTCAGGCGTAGCATTATTGCCATTGTATTCATGAGGTGACCTGTTAAATAATGGAAAAAATTATCAGATATACTATAAGAGTTCGATTAATAACAAAGTAGGACTTGCAGCAGTAAACAGAAACAATACCCTGATGCGTTGTCAATTGAAGGACTTGATGTTGGATGGCAAGAAAATTCCATGCCTTCACAAGAAAAATCTAGATCATTCAACATTTCTGTGAATGAGAAGTCCATCCCTAAGGCATCAAAGTTAGGAAAATCAATGCCAAATATGTCCAATTCCTTTTCAGACTCGGATGTAGAAATCTCATTGGCCAATGAATTCTCCAAGCTCTCAGGCATGTCAGAGGCATCAAAGTTCAACCTGCTTCTAACATGATCCCTCTTATTTACCTTTTCTGAATTTGTCTTAACAGGAGATATACAACGACTCATCTCTATGTAAGCCATCTGTTTTGCAGGGCTGACCATAACTCTCTTGGTTGAAATTACAGTGCAACGGCTGGGTGTAACTGCACATTTACCGGTTGCAACTGAAGAGCAGGTGACGCTGTCATTCAACGGGTTTTGGTCGGTGGAGGCATTACAGTGCAACGGCTGGGTGTAACTGCACATTTACCGGTTGCAACTGAAGAAATCTCAGAAGGGGATACATGTGTATCACTGTGAGAAGATTTTGTTCTAGGTGGTGTCTTTGGAACCGGTGAATTACTTGGAACAGATGGTGTAGACTGGTTGAATAAGCATTTAGCAACATTGGATCCCTGAACTTGTGATTGCCTGGGTATGCAGTTCTCTGATGAAGACTGAATGGCTGAAGGCTGAGCTACAATTATATTATTGACAATGTTATCAGATTGTTGAGGAGCATTTTGACCTGACATAGACATGAAGCAAAATGAATGTGATGATCATGAGATTGACATATATTTATATCAGATGCACAAGTTATGAGATAACCATACCTTGGACAGGGATTTTCCTACTGGATGATCTACCACGAGATTTTTTAGCAGCGGGAGGAGCATCCGCAGTTTTAGTATCCTTTCTCTTTCTGTAAGATACATTCACTGTTGGTACTGTCGAGATGTTTCCACCCTCGGCATTTGAATTGCTAGATTGAGGCACTGATGGTGTGATCAATTTGTTTTGTACAGAAGTAGGATTCCCTAATATATAAAAAAATCAGTGAAGATCATAATCAAGCAAGATCAGTATGACTGACACAGACAAAAAGCTAAAATTGTTCTTGCTTGAGCAAATGGAAAATATGAAAGTAGAAAATAAACGACCGGTATAACACATTTTCAATCAAAAGAGAAAATAAAGCACAATTTATTTTACATCTCATAAGAGCAAATTAATTTTTGTTCCAAATTTTCAATTGCCTGATTTTCCACCGACTCAACCAAGCACACCTTAGGGGACAAATTACACTTCAATTGCAACTTAATGCAAAAAGGTTTTAATCAATTACGTCCAGCCCTAGAACTTGAGGCAGTTGATAATCAGTAAACATGGGAAAATTGAAAACGTTGTGCAACGTAACCAAGTCAATCAGAGCTCTTCAGTCTCCTATATTATGGATATTATACCTATAATTCTCCATCACTCTTCAGAACAAAAATTGAACGCTCTTAGGACACAAATATTATTCGTTGTTTATAACATAATTTGAGCATTGATTAAACAGTAAACATGGGAATTTCTGCATCAGAGAAACTATAAATTTTTCCAAGAATAATCATCAACTAGGGTACCTGCACATAAATTAAGAAAAACCAACTAAGGTTGGGGCAAAGGTTGTACCTGGATGAGATTTGTAACTAAAAGTTGGTTGAGGAACTGCTACAACCGCTGATTTTGCAGCAGGTAAAGGGAGGTTTCCACTGGCATTGTAAGCAGTCATCACATTATGCATGCCTTGCAACAGCATCTGAACCCGGTTCTTCTCTTGTTCCATAAGGACCCGATCTTGATCCAACATCACCTTCTGCTCCTTCAAGCAGATATACTCATCCAGCATCTCACCCAAAGTCAACAAACTCTTCGGTGCCTAAAACCCCCCAATTTTTCCATTAAATCCCGCATGCACAAATCGAAGGAAAACAAAAGGACCGAAAAATTAAGATTAAAAAACGAACACCCAGATGGCCAAATCTTCGTAACATCGGAGAAAAACAAAAGGGTCGGAAAAATATCCAAAACGAGAGCCTAAAGATGCCAACTTTAAGATTAAAAACGACGACCCAGATGGCGAAATCTGCTTAAAAAGGGATATAAAAAAAAGGGTTGGAGGAGGATAGAGAAACATGCAAGGGTACCTCGTGAATGGGTGAATTGGCGATGAGGGAAGAGGCTTCGTTTCTGAAGGTGGAGCGAGTGGAGGAGAAGTTGTTGTCGCAGAGGTATCTGTCGACGATGAATGCGATCTGAGTGGGAGTGACTTTGCCTTTGCCGAACACCTCTGGCTTTCTGGCTTTGGATTGTTTCCCCGCCATTGTTGTTGTTACAGTCGGATGAGAGAGAGAGAATGGAAGTGGCGCTGCGTTAAAAGGGTATGGCAAGGAACGCGGGAGAATTTTTGAAGGTGTGCCTGAATCTCGACTTTTGGCGGTAATAGGCAAAACGTCTCCCACTCTCCAAACCTTGGAATCTTGGATACGCTCAGGTTATTAATATATAGATAATACATGAGTTTTCTACACGCAAATTAAAATAAAGTTAAAAAAAAAATGGAACTGAAATTATAAATAAAATAATTTTAAAAAAAATAAGATCGAAAAAAATAACAATGATATGTAACTCTTCTTTAAATAACTTACAAAACAACAAATAGAGGAAATTTTGATTTTTTTTCGTTTTATGTTCTCTTATGATTATTTATTTAACTATTCTTTTTGTACGGTTGAAAAGTTTAATGGAACATCTACTATTATTATCTTTAGCATACAAACTAAGATTTAACTTCTATTTGGTTGAAGATTAGTCCAAAAATACGTTATTTGATTACAATAGAAAAATTTTCTTCTTGTGTTTAATTTCAATAGAAAATGTCATTTTTATCTAGTACCTACAATTATGAATGACAATTGAGTGGGTGGCATCGTAGTATCTTTTCGTCACCTACTTCATTTAATATAAATATTTATTCAATAGGTATGGATGAGATTTTTATGTATTTGTGGACATTTATGAATATTTGAAGAAATATAAAATTTTAAATAAAAAAGTAAGAAATAAAATAAAAAAATTAAATAATTTTAAAACCTATATTTATATTAAAAAATTGTATTATATATTTATAAAATAAATAATTATGATATATATTTAATGTAAAAAAAAATAACTAAACTACTTTACATATAATTAACAGTATTTTTAATACTTTTAAAATACAGATACTCACTAGTACAAATATTATACTATTCATCCTTATCTTATTATTAAGTGAGTATCTATTTATTTGTTTATTTAAAATCTATAATATATTTGATTTGTAAATATTTGGAAAGATTGGTGGAAATTCTACGAGTTATGTCTACAACTTAAAAAATCAAAATCAAATTTTATCTTAATAAAAAGAGAGATAATCACTTATACATTATCAATGTAAAGTTTTTTTTACACTGACAACCAATTATATCTTTTAGTTATGCAATGTCACTATAAATACATTTACTTTTAATAGTGACATGACACAATTAAAAGATATAATTGGTTGCCAATATAAAAAAAATTTACACTGACAGTGTATAGGTGATTAACTCATAAAAAAAATAATCACAAAGCATATTATTGATTAAATTATATTTTTAATTTTTCTATTTTTATCAAACTACAATTTTGGCCCTTTTATTTTAAAAAAGAGACATTTAGTCCCTCTGTTTTTAAACATTTTAATTTCACATAAAAAGCATTATTAATTAACAATTCAATAAAATGCTTAACTCAATTAATAAAATATAGAGCTTGTGATTTTCATGTTAGTCTCCATTCTACTTGATTATCACAACTTTTTTAGCCCACCCCTATCTCTTTGTGTGTGTGTTTTGATTTTTAAAATTGTTAAAATATTAAAAACAATAATTTTTAAGTTAAAAATACAGATTTGACATTTAATTGTATTCTACAAAAGAATTGAAAATAATGTTAAACGTTAAACAAATTAAATCAATAAAATTTTTAGAAATTCCTACCAAAAGTGGAGGAGTTGATTTTTTTTTTTTTTTTGTGTGATTTCGAAATCGATTTGAGCAAGCAAATTAGTTTTTATTTATTATAAGCCGCAAATTTTTGAAATATTTTAGTCTATTTAAGAAATTATAATTTCATTTGTCAAGTAAAAAACTACAAAATTATAATTAAATAAACAACAAAGGTAAGTTATTTAAAGTCTAATTTTCATATTGACAACAATAACCCAAAAAATATAATGTGTGCAATTTATCACTACTTTTATTCCAAAACATATATAGAACCAAAATATTATCAATGAGATAACAATATAAATCCACTTGCTTATGCGGAGGATAAACACATAGTGGGAGAAAGTCTTTGTTCTATAAGACTATAACTAAGTAATTTCATTCACTTTGATTTCACTCAAATATAATACCATGCATGGTACAGTATGTTTTATGGGTAATATAAAATATTAAAATAATAAATATATAATTGTTAAAAATACTACATCTCTTAATTGTTAAGCTACATTATTACGGGAGACATATTTTACATTAATTTTGAAAATATTTTACATCAATTTTGAAAACGATGTAGATTAAGATGATGTAAAATGTGTAAGACATTTAACATTAGTTTAAAAATCAATGTAGAAAGTCTTATTTTTATATCGTTGATAAAATTAATGTAGAAAACTCAATATTAAGTCTATTTACATTAGTAGGTAAGACAAAGATTGAGTGTCTTAAGAATATATAATAGTACTTAAGAAGAAAATAAAAAGATTGAATACCAAAGATAAGCTTGAATGCGTCTTTCTTCACTTAGATTCATAATGTATATTTATATATATCAAAATCAGAAGTACAATGAATGCAATAAACAAAGAAGAAGAAAAAAAGGAATAACAATATGAACCCTATGAGATTATGACAGTTAGCTACAATAGGAATAAATATATTACAAGAAGCAACATAAAATATTGTGATGAATGAAAATTTAGTGCTATAGAACAACATAAAGGTTGTTAGCAAATTGTAGTGTTGACTAGTTGATCTGATTCTTATTAGCCTCTCATTATGATATTCCCAAGTCAACTTTAAATAAAGCAAGTTGAAGTTGTTGATTTAGGAGCTCGGAATTAACTTTGTTCATTGTATAGGGCATCATAGTTTGTTGTTGTAAAGTTGCATTGGAAACTTAGTTGGATGAGGCAATAAAATTATTGGGTTGTTAGTAATTTAACTATCCTATCTAAGGTTTTTGTTGTCTTCTCATATTTTCCAATTGGAACTTCAATCTAATTTATACCAACTATGTTGCAATCAATCATGAAGAGAAGGACAAAAAGTACATATATTTTATTAAAGTATAAACTTGATTTTGGGTCTTATTTGTGCAATTAAAAGCCTAATTTCTATAAGTTTAGGGTCAAATTCTAGAAGTATAAGGTCAAATTCTAGAAGCATAATCTTGAGTCATCAACAATCATTTATTGAATCTACTTTGACTAAGCGTTCATCCCTTAATACCAAGTCTTTAAGTTTAGCAGGTTGTGGATTGAAATCGCAATCACTTCATAGTAGTACCACCTTTTCACTTTATATTACACTTTTTCTCCTTATATGATTGGTTAAACTTAAAATAACTAAGATCAATGTATATATGTTTAAGTATATTGAAATTGACAAGATTGGAGATCCTTGACTTGACTAGAAACAACTTGGATATCAACATCATAGGTTTGTTTCGATCTTTAAGTAAACTATTATTTAATTCAGTCCATGAATTTATAAATATTAACATATTAATTTTTGAAATTAACAAAATGTCAAATAAAAGTACAAATTAACAATCGATTTAGTCACCAATTCAAAAAATAAAATGTGAGGTTAAAGAAACATTGATTAAAGATCAAAATAATTATAAGTATTAAAATTTAAAGACTTAATATTTAATTTTTTTTAGTTTTATGTACTAATATTACAATGTTTGCTACTTTTTATAGACCAAAATGACTATTTATTCTTTTATCTTCCGTTAATTTGTCAAAATGTTATGTTGAACATGACTCTTGTAATAATATGTTATGTCATCATCTAACTACCAATAAGCTATAATTGGATGTAATATTCAACTTGGATCATGTGAGAATATGCTACTCTATCTACTAACAAGTAATAACTTATAATGATGTATCAATGACAGAGAAAGAAGGATTTACATGGCCAACCAATTTGCAAATCCTTAGACTCAGTGAAAATAGTTTCAATAATAAAATTTGTTCATCTATGAGTGGACTTCAACATCTTAAATCTCTTGATTTAAGCAACAACCAATTGAAAGGATCGTTGAATATTAATAGTAAGTACTTCATTTTGGATTTTTTTTATTGTGAACCATTTATATCACCTTTAATTTAATCAAGGAGAGAATCGTATTGATATAGTTCTATTTAACGAGTGAAAAATATTGTCATATGTTGCAACAATGATAGTATAACCAATCAAACTTTTGTTTATCCCTAATAGCATTGGCGATACACAATTTGGAAATTTTTGAAATTGGTGATAATAAAATCACCAATTTTGTTGTTCATCAACATCAAGATATCTATGCAAATTGAAATAGTTGATGTTACATATACTTATCATTTTATTTTAATACATTTTTACTTTTTATCATGACATCATCTATTCTAATGTAGTACTTTTGTTTCAAATATAATTTCTTAGATAGGTCACAACTTGAGATGGTGAAGGAGTTGAACATAAAGAAGAATAAATCCAAGGGGCCACTTCAACCATATTTTGCCAACTTGCATCTATTAGGAAGTTGGATATTTCTTATAACCATTTTATTGGTAATATCAGTTCTAACCTTGGAGGTCTTGCATCCCTAGAATATCTCAATTTTGAAGGAAACCAAATTTGAAGTTCCTATTTAATTCAAACCGTTTTCCAATCATTCAAATCTTAAGTTCTTTTATGGCAATAGGAACAAAGTCATACTCGATCTATACTCTACTTTTGAAAATTGGATTCCAAAGTTTCAATTGCAAGTGCACAGTTTATCTTCAAGGGTTGAAACAAATTCTCTTCCCCTACCAAGCTTTCTTTACAAATTAACTTATATAGATTTCACTAATTGTAAACTAGGAGGAGAGTTCCCAAATTGGTTATTGGAAAACAACCCAAAAATGATAAACCATGTTCTTAAAAATTGTTTTTTTACTTAATTTCAACTACCATCTCATCACCATCTCCACATGGTAGAAATGGATGTATCCAACAATGCAATAACAAGTCAAATCTCAAGTCGTAATACTAATCCAATATTTCCAAATTTGAAAAAGTTAGACATGTCTATGAATGCAATATGTGGTTTAATTCCTCAGGAATTTGGCCAAATGAACATACTATAAACATTGGATCTCTCAAATAATCATTTGTCAGGAGAAATTCTATGCAAGTTGAGAAACATTAGCTCATTATAAAAATTGAATCTTTCTAATAATAATTGTTTGAAAAAAATACCAGAGGACATTTTTGGAGTTAGGAACCAATCCCAAAAATATAGTTACGATTATTTTTCACAATTCAATAATCCTCGAGCATGCTTGTCATTGAGTGGTAATAGTTTTACTGGTAGACTACCAAGCAACATTTTTAACCCACTCATCATTTCATTGGACATAAGCAATAATCATTTTGTGGGAAAGATTCCAATCCTTATTAAAAACTTATAAAACGTGTTGGAATTTTGTATGTCCAATAATCATTTTGAAGGATCATTTCCATTAGAATTGGTAGAACTTGAAAGTCTAATTCATCTAGATCTCTCCCAAAATAATCTGATTATTAGTGTTCCATCTTTTATAAATTATTTGATGAAATTGAACAATAATCATTTAAATGGATTGTCAAAATCAATGTTTGGCTCAAACTCTTCCTTAGCAATCTTAGACTTTAGCTACAATGAATTAACCAATACCATTGATCAAGATATCATACAAGACCTTAGTTATGAAAAATTGAGCATTCTTCTTTTGAAAGGTAATTACTTCATTGGAAATATACCAAGCCAATTATGCCAATTGATGTATTTAACCATACTAGACCTTTCTTATAACAATTTTTCTAGTGAAATACCAACTTGCTTGGGTAAAATACCTTTTGAGAATATAAGGTCTGACCAATTATATAAATTGTTTCATGGCTTTATTCCTCTTTCATTCTTTGATCATTTACTAAATGTCCAATAGAAAGTAAAGTTCAATTCAAAGAAGAGAATTTAGTCTTACATGAGGAGTATCCTTGCTTATATGTTTGGAATTGACTTATCTCACAATAAACTAATGGGGGACATACCATCTGAACTCAGAAACTTGACAAGAATCAATCATTGAACTTGTCACAATGATTTGACGGGGAAAATTCTGACTACATTCTCCAATTTGTTGAAAATAGAAAGTTTGGATCTTTCTTTCAACAAGTTGAATGGCCAAATTCCCCCACAATCGACTAAGTTAACCTTCCTTGTTGTATTCTATGTAGCATACAATAACTTATTTGGTACAACATCTGAAAGAAAAGGTTAGTTTTTGACATTTGAAGAAAGCAACTACAAGGGTAATTTGTTTCTTTGTGGACTTCCATTACCAAAAAGTTGTAATTCTCCATGTGTTATTTTACCATGACTTGGGCCATGATGGGGACAATGGTAGTTTGATGGACATGTTTGTTTTCTACGTGACCTTTGTTGTGACATACACATCAACTTTATTGATAACTTCAACAACTTTGTACATTAATCCTTACTAGAGGCAAACATGGTTTTACTATGGAGAATTAGTGATCCTAAATTGCTACTATTTTGTCTTCACTAGTACAAAACAGACTTTTAAAATCAGGGTTTTAAAATCGGTCATAAGATAGCCGATTTTAAAAGTGGCGCGGTGGAAATTTTGTAAATAATGACATTACTTTTAAAATCGGTTACGTTATGACCGATTTTAAAAGTCTCTGACGCTACTGTTAAAATTGGCTCTTGAACAGCTGATTTTAAAAGTGAGACTTTTAAAATCGGCTACTTTTAAGATTGGCTTGGACAATCTGTGCAAGTTTTTAAAAGTGAAAATATGTAACATTATGTTGCATGACTAAAACATTAGTTTCTTCTTTGTTTGTTCTAATAAGTGTGGTACAATAGTTAATATTTTAGACAGTTTAATTTTTAGTCATTGGCATACTTTAGTTTCTTTAGAAATTATTAAATCAAAATATCAGTTCAACTTTAGATATAATCATTTACATAATATCTCATGATGATGAGATGAATACATACTATGTATAATATATTTAATATATATAATTACTAATACTAATTTTTAACAAGAATATTTAATTTAGAATTTTAAAATTGTTATTATTATATGAATGTAAGGTTCATGTTGCAAACATTCACTAACTTTTTTCACATTTACAAATGTGTATATTTTTTCTATTTTGTATTTTTTTTAGTTACGAGGTAATGATCGTTTTAACTATAATTGTGAGTTTCTAAAATATCACTCTATATATTTGATATTTATGATCTTCATTAATAAAGTTGGAAAATTAAATTTATAAAGAAGACTATAGTTTTTTTTTATTAATATAATAACTTTTTCTTCTTCTTCTTATTATTATTAATTATTATTATTATTATTATTATTAGTCTTTAAAACGAATAAATAAGAACCATTATGTCAACCTTGTGATTAGAGTTGGTGTAGTATATTAGAGGTCTTGTGTGTGAACCTCAATGCATCCATTGTTTACATAAAAAAAATGAATAATTTTGGTGATGAATAACTCTTGTTAGCCTACTAATGCAAACATATCATTGAATTGGTTTATGAAGTGGTTTGATGATTTAATGATCAAATTGGAGGGTACCTTATTAAACTAGTAAATTTGGTTTGTACTAAAAAATTAAAAAAAATAATAATTTAGCTAACATAATTTTCGATAAAAAAATAGAAATAAAATTGTATGTGTAAAATACATTTGTAACATGTAACATACAATAGGTGCCCTAACCTAATGGTAGAGTAGTGCAAAAAATCCAAATCAATCCAAACTATATGAAAAAATCTTATCCATTTTGAAAAAAAAAGTATTCAAACCATTTCACTTTAATTTACAAAATTGATTTGGTTATCTGATCCATTTTTATAAAGTAGATCAATTTTGTTTGATTTAATTCGATTAAAAAAATAATGATGCATTCGAGTTTAAAGTGGATAATCACATTGCATCAAATTGATCCAATTTATTAAAAAAATTTGATCAATATTTTTAAAAAGCAATATAAAATGGATTGGTTCAATTTAGTTTAAATTTTTCAAAAATTCAATCCATGAACACCCTTATCAAATAGTAATTGGACTTTATGTCGAAGGAACCATGGTCGAATCTTACTTCACAACAAAGTGTTTGTTATTAACTTTTATTATTTATAAAAAATTTTTGCATATATATATATATATATATATATATATAATATTTGTGTACTTTAACATATTGTAACTATAAAAAATACTAGTAACACACTCCTCTTAATATATATTTTTATTTATTAAAATTTTATTAAAAACTATAAAATCAAAAAAATTAATCATTAAATAGGATACAGAATCTACCAAATTTTATTATTTTCAATAAAATTCAACCAATCAATCAAGGATATATCGTTAATATTTATCTTGTTACTATTTAGCTATGGTGGTAAGTGCGTTGTACATAAAATTGGGGGATCAAGGTTCAAGTACTCCATGTAACAAAATGGCAGGTTTTAATTCTTCATTATTTAAAAATAAATAAAGTTCGTGACTCGGATCAGTACCGATTTTTCGTGAAAATTAGACTTGTGTAATTCAATTATCTTCTCTGTGTTTAAATTTTAAGTGATGGATCAAATATTTAATTAATATTTGATTAGTTCGTGAGTGTAGTTGTATAACTTTGTAAAATTGCATAATGGCTCCTATTTCAAGTGTTGCGTTTGTGGGCTAAGGCTCCTAGGTAAGATGTGAACCAAAGTAGATCATAAGCCAATTTTTGGCCCAACCCCCATCAGTCAAATTAACAGTCCAGACAAGTTCTGTCTGGGTTTGGAACAATTGGCCACTTATGGTTATCTTGATGATATATACATTTTTTTTAGCACGTTTCTTTTTAACAAAAAAAAACTTAAAATATCTTTAATAATTTTTTATTCTGTAATTTTTTAATTCTATACTTTAAAGTATAATTTAACACTTTTTTTTTCATACATCTTCTCTACCCTTTTTAGTTTTTATATGGATTCCCTTACTTTTCTCTCTCCCCCACTTCTTACTTGAGCACATAATTTTAATTTTTTTAGTTTTCACATTATTCTCTTCGCCCTCCCATCTTTCAATTTTCACATGCATCGAGTAGTAGAACTAGTGCACAATGATATTGTATACATGTGCGACTTCCTTGACGATTTTGAAGTGGTTGAGCCAGATGCACATCTTTTCTTCGAACACTTCTTTTTCTTTTACGCTTTCAAAAACTTAAACATTAAATTTATTGTTTCGAAAAATAGTTTTCGGAATATTAATTTTAGTATTCCATAAAGTTTTTTTTAGAAAAGTAAAATTAGTGATCTAGAAAGAATTTTTCAAAATTGTGTTTTTTACATACTTTCAAAAAGTATTTTCAAATACTTTTTAGAATAGGAAATTTATTATTTCAGAAAGTACTTTCTAAAAGTACATTATGTTTTACACAATTTCAAAATATTCTTTTCAAAATAGTAAATTTAGTGTTTTGAAAAGTACTTTTTAATATATATAAAAAATATAATTTTAAAAATCAGTTTTGGAGCACTAATTTCACTTTTTCGAAAAGTACTTTCTAGAACTAAAATTAATGTTTAAGAAAAGTATTTTTTGAAACAATAAATTTAGGGGGGTGTATTGGATTAGGATTTTAAAG